AAATATAGCCCTGGCCTTGAACCAGAGAGGTATTCTTTGCACTAATACTATCTGTAAGGTTCATCATAAGTTCTTGAGGCGGTTATCCCTAGACTTCCTATACTGTGCACTCATCACTCAGCAATGCTGGGGGATGCCTGGGAGATCGCGCGACACTGCGGTACACTTTGTGAAATCTTTCTGGTCGGCCGCTGATGCTAGAAAGTTATCCTGCGGGAGTCTGTTTGTTGACCTCACTGCTGCCTTTTATTCCACTATTCGGCAGTTAGTGCACGATCTCCCAGGCGAAGAAGAGTTCTTAGAGGAGACCCTAGAAGACCTCTCGATTCCCCCGGCCCTAGTTGATGGAGTCAGAGCCCAACTTGCACAAGGCCCGCTCCTGGAGAGGCATGTTGAAAACCCCCATTTGATTGCGCTCCTAAGAGAGGCTCAGAGGGGGGGCTTTTTGGGCGGTCCAGGGGGCGGATGGTTTTGTGATTCCCCGCACGGGCTGTCGACCCGGCACGATCATGGCCACGGATGTGTTCAACGCCGCCTTCGCCAACATCCAGCGCGACATTGAGGATGAAATGGAAGATAGAGGGCTAAGGTGGCTCCCACAGACAACACGCGAAATCTTCTCTCTCACCGTGGAGGACCGAGAAGTCACCGCCACAGTCTCGTTTGTGGATGATCTAACCCCCTCTGCTGTGGACGCTGACCCTCTCACTCTGGCGGCGAACTTAGGCGAGGTTATTGACGTTGTTTTTATTGTGTGTGCCCTCCATGGGCTTCGCCTCAATCCGACGAAAACAAAAAATCATGCTCCGCTTCAGGGGGGTTGGGTCTCAGGCAGCCTTTCGACAGCTATGCGATGCTGAAGTCCCCCAGGTCATGTCCCCCCAACACAAGATTGCTGTTGATGTTGTCAGGGCTCACAAATGCCTTGGGGTCGTGCTTTCTGACTCGGGGGGGGAGGGACTAGAGATCACGGCTCGAAGTATCGCTGCTAAGGCTGCTGTCCGCCCAGTGAAGGCCACTATTGCTCCTCGGGGGGATCTTGCCATGAATGCTAAGCTTCTCTATGCGGAGGCGTTCGGCTCCAGTCGTTTCTTTTATGCTGCTGCCCTGTGGAAGCCTATGCCTAGTGCTGTTCGTAATCGGCTTCGCGTCTGTCACGAGTTTATTTACCGATGTGCTTTGGGGCTACCCGCGGCTAATTCGGCTGAAGTTCAACACTCGTACCTGGAAATTCTTGCTAAAGCTGAACGCCTCCCGTGGGAAACTGTAGTTCATGTCTCTCGACTCAGGTTCCTAGTTAGGTTGTTCCGCTCGGCCCCTCGTTTTTTACTTCGGATGCTAGATGTGGCGCTCCTGGACCAAAAAAGCTGGGCTCGTGCGCTTGGGGAAAGTTTGGACTGGCTTGTACTTTTTACCGAACCCAAAAACATCCCTGGCAGTGGGGGCATGGACGAGTGGATTGAAGCGGCACAACTCTCCCCCTCGCGTTTCAGTGCCCTCATCAAGAGTGCGCTCGCTCATGCTCGCGCCTGGTGGCGGGATCAACATCGTCTTCTCCTGTGGGACAAGCGCATGAACGCCGCCATCGAGGGCACCCCGTTGCAGGTGCGCACAGATACGGCCCATCAGGGGGTCGTGTGCTACGAGTGCGGGCAGATATTCAAGACGGAACGTGCTCTTCGGAGCCATAGGGGCAAGCAGCACCCCCATGTGATGACCCCGTCCATGCTTGCCACTGGCACGGTTTGCCAAATATGTTGCTGGGACTTCAGGGCTAACGGGCGCCTCTATAAACATTTGGCCCGAGCTCGGGTTTGTTTTCGTGGTCTTGTTGCCACTGGTGCGCGACCTTCTACCGAAGAAATTACCGAGGCCCGTGCTGAAAGGAGTCGTGACCAGAGCGCAAACCGTGCCAGGGGGCTTACCGATGATTTTGCCCACTTCCCCCCCCGCCGTGTTTATGGCCCAGCCAGGGGTCCCAAGGTCCTCGAGGGTGACGTGCCCGTGGCGGAGCCGGCTGCTCCCCCTCCTCCGCCTCCTCCGCCTCCGTTGCCCTTCGCTCCGACCCCGCCTCCGTCGCGGCCCCATCGCTACTTGCTCCACTTCTTTTCTGGCCAGCGTCGGGCGGGGGACCTCCAAGAGTGGACCGAGAGACTGGCCTCCCAATATAGGGTTCCTGTTATTGTTTTGTCTATCGATATTACCCACTGCCCCCGTTATGGTGATCTGTCCAAACCGAGTATTGTGGATTTCTGGCTGCGACTTATGAAAGAGGGGTGGGTCGCGGGGGTGGTGGCGGGGCCCCCGTGTGAGACGTGGAGTGCTGCTCGCCACAATGAGATCCCAGAAGATAGCCCTGGCCCTCACCCTAGACCCCTTAGGTCACCCGACATGCTTTGGGGGCTGCAATATCCTGCGCCCAAGGAACAGGACCAAGTAGATGTGGGCAACGCTCTGTTGCGCACGACGCTCGAGTTCCTTGTGGAGGCGTGGAGGCTTGGTCTCCCAGCTGTGATGGAGCACCCCGCTCCTGCAGAACATCGCCCCAATGTCCCTAGCAGTTGGCACCTCCCCCTATTGGTTCGTTTTGCCAGGATGCCAGGGGTCCATCTTTTTAGGATTGACCAATGCATGTTCGGGCAGCGTGCTAAGAAACCGACGTCTCTCTTTGGAATCAACGTGCCTATGATGGGCCAGCTCATTCGTGAATTGCCACATCATGGGAGGTGCCAACACCGTGCTCATCCGTATGTGCTTGAAGGCAGGGATGGGAGTGGGGGGTGGAATACAGCTGCGGCGAAGACGTACCCATCCCAACTTTGCCGCTTTCTCGCGCAATCCGTGTTTGTGTCTATTCAGAGTCAGTTCAATTGTGAGGGAGAACCCCCCTTGGATTTAGACGATTTTGTTGCCCCTTTCTTTGTGCCTCTCGACCCCTTCTTTGAGTTCCAGAGGGGCCGTGGCTACGCTCAAATGGGTACCACTCTCTCTCTCTCAATAGAAACCGTGGCGAGGTCCTCCTTACCCGCACTAAGTTGCTGTGTTTCTCACTGCCCCCCTGGGTGTGCGCGGCACCTTTAACTCTCGCTGACAGGTGGGGATGTTTAGCGCTGTTTGGGGGAAGGTATCTTTTTCGCTGCCGTGAGGTAGCAGTACCCCAACGGCCCCGACACCTGGGTGTGGCTAGGGTGTGCGCAGCACCGTAACTCTTGCATGTATTCGGGGGAAGGTCCCTTTTTCGCCGCTGTCAGGTGGTAGTACCCCGACTAGCCCCCAGCACCTGGGTGTGTCATTTTCCCCTGCCGACCGTGGTTGAGATCCACCTAAGCGTCGATGTCTATCACCACGAGTACTGGCTCGACTCCCTGCATCAGGACTGGGCTTTCAAATGCACGCCATGGATTGGGACTGGGCTTTGTAACAGGTGGGGGGCGATGATGCGTTTCACCGTGACGAGGCTTGCCCGCTTCAGCGATCGCTGCCTCCGCTCTCTTTTTCTCTCTGCTGCCGCTCTCGTCTCACATATCGTTTGGGATCCAGACTCATTCCCTTAGTTGCCGACCGACCGACCGACCGAGGAGGAGGAGGAGGAGGAGGAGGAGGAGGAGGAGAAGGAGGAGGAGGACGGGTCGCCTGAGCCCTTCGGAGAAACCCTCCAAGCGAGGGCGGGCGCGCGCGGTAAGGAGCCACCTGCTCGCCTCGGACCCTCGGGGCGAGCGCTCGAGCCCGCAGGGCGACGACCGAAAAGCGCTGCGTGTCTTTGCCGCTCCCTGAGCGCCGCCGGGGAGCGGAGGTCGGGCTGCGGCCCCAAGGAGGTCCTCGCTCCCCTCGCCCTCGTCCCCCCCTCCTCCTCCTCCTCCTCCTCCTCCTCCTCCTCCTCTCCTCCTCCTCCTCCTCCTCCCACTCCTCCTCCCCCTCCTCCTCCTCTATGTCCTCCTCCTCCTCCTCCTCCTCCTCCTCCATCTCCTCCTCCATCTCCCCTTTCCCTCCTCCTCCTCTTCGTCCTCCTCCTCCTCCTCCTCCTCCTCCTCCTCCTCCTCCATGTCCTCCTCCATCTCCTCCTCCATCTCCCCCTTTCCCTCCTCCTCTCCTCCTCCTCTCCTCCTCCTCCTCCTCCTCCTCCTCCTCCTCCTCCTCCCCCCTCGTCCCCCCCTCCCCTCTCTGATTAGGCGAGTGCGTTCCACTGCTCGCAGAGTAACTGCTCGCAAACGGCCTGGATCCCCCGTGGGGGATCTACGATAAATCACATCAAAGCAGGCATGTGCTTTTCTAGACGTTTGCGAGTAGGCACTTTGCGAGCAGTGGAACGCGCTCGGTCGCTGGTGTGGGCACCTGCCTTCCTGAGCCAACAAAGTACAGTGGAGGCCCGAGCACAAGAAGCCTTCCACGAGAGGCCCAACCCCGAGACCCCAGGACGTCCATTGATTTTCTTGGTGTGGGAGCGTCACGCCTTCCGCAGCAGAACCATCGAAACCCAAGAAGCCCAGGGCACCCTGGAGGCAAGCAGGGTGCTTCTTCGCATGGGCCTCCACTGCATCTGTATCAAAGTTGCAGAGACGCTCTTCGTGCACTGCGAGGCGACAGGCAGGCCCTACAAGCTCTCCTGCTCCTCCACCTCCGCTTCCTCCTCCTCCTCCTCCTCCTCCTCCTCCTCCTCCTCCTCCTCCTCCTCCCACTCATCCTCCCCCTCCTCCTCCTCCCCCCCTCCTCCTCCTCCTCCTCCTCCTCCTCCCCCTCCCTCCCCCTCCCCTCCCCCCCCCCCCCTCCCCCTCCCCCTCCCCCTCCCCCCTCCCCCTCCCCCTCCCCCTCCCCCTCCCCCTCCCCCTCCCCTCCCCCTCCCCCCTCTCCTCCTCCTCCTGCTCCTCCTCCTCCTCTCCTCCTCCTCCTCCTCCTCCTCCTCCTCCTCCTCCTCCTCCTCCTCCCACTCCTCCTCCTCCTCCTCCTCCTCCTCCTCCTCCTCCTCCTCCTCCTCCTCCTCTTCCTCTTTGAGCCCCGCCCTCCAGCATGACCACGCCGTATCCGCCCTTGCTGCTTCCTCGGCACCGCGGCAGGGGGGGAGAGAGGGAGGGGGGGGAAGGCAGGGAGGCGCGGGAAGGATGGAGGCCGTCGAGGGGAGGGAAGAGCGGAGGGGACATCTGAGTGGCGGAGTCGGACGGGGGGGGGGGAAAGGGCGGGACGGGGATGGGGGATTGTAGCAGTGGAGGCAAGGACGTGGAGAGAAGCTCGGGGAGATGGGCACCCTGGGCATGCAAGCGTGGGAGCTTCAGCCGGGCCCTCTCTCCGAGGTATGCCGCCGGGTGCCAAAATACCGTCGCTGGCTTTTCGCGTGCCCGGAAGAGGACAGCGCTGGCCAGAGGATGTTATGGTAGAGCGTTGCCCGTCCAGTAGCACGTACAGCTACGCGTGAAATGCGCCAGACGGAGCTACAAGTGGCATGACACTCTGGTGGTGCAGTGTGCCTATCCCCCAAACTGGGGCTACCTGTGTCTGGGCGCACGTGGGCCGTGCTGGACACTGCGTTCTGTTGTCCAGACTTGGCCTTCGCTGGAAGGGAAGAAAACGGGGACCATGACCAAGCAACACTGAACGTGGAAGCGTCGTGTCGATCCTGGTCACCGTCTATATCCCAAGCTCAGACTCTTCGGGCTTCTCATGTGGCTTTTCTCCTAAGGCCAGAAGGCCAGAAGGCGTGGCAGAGAGTCCCAAGAGGTCCCCAAGGCGGTCCAAAAGGACCTCGAGACGGCCCAAGAGCGATTCGAGACGGCCAAGGCCTCAAGAAGACGGCCGAAGAGGCGCCAGAGACACCCCATGAGGGAACCACGAAGAGCCTCAAGAAGGCCCCTAATAGACACAAGTCGTTGATCGCCTATTGGCAGACTGTAGCGTTCTCGCCTCTTCGGCCTTTCAACGCACCAAGACATCCCAAGAGGCCCCCATGATCGCCCCAAGAGACAGCTCAACAAATTTCCAAAGCATCGTGGGACGCGACAGCTTTGTACCCATCCTGAATGAGACCATCGGTCGCTCAATGTGCGACCTTTTTGCGAACTTGACGTTCCGCCTCTGGGCCATCGCCTCTTGAGAACGTCTACCAACGTAGACTCAAAAAGAGAATGCACAGAACGCCGTGTTGGAAACATAATGAACCGAATGCCACAAGGAAGTATATAAGGCAGGGTGCAGTATTGAAATGTAGCGCCAGGTAGGGTGAGATGGGGTGTTGCGCTATGAAGATATAGTCAGGAAAGCTTGACTCACCTCAGATCGGCCCAGCTAGCACGAACCAAGCAATGATCAGACACGCAACGCTAGGCTAGGACAATTGAAAACAGGTGCTGCTAAAACATTCTCTTAAGATGAGAATTTGGAGCAAGGGACCCTTGCTCCAAGCGTGCTCGCGATATGTTGGTTTTGCGCCGACTAGAGGCCCTGCACTCTTATACTCAATCCGTAACCTGAAATTGTAAATTAGGTATCACACCACACATGCTACTAGAGCCCGAAGTCAATGCAAACAACTACGCCCATAACAGATACGATGATGCAGGTCGCACAAACAGTCCTACACCAATCCCAAGCCGGTCATGAGTCCCGGGTAAACACAGTTGGGCCTACCTACGGTGGTGCTAAGGCGACGGCAAAGGCTGAAGCTTCGCCAAGCCGAAGCAACTCAGGGTCAGGCGTGGCGAGGCGTAGCCTCGCCTCATCCGGCACTGCGACGCTAGGCAAAGCTGAGGCTAAACTAAGCATCGCCGAAGCTGAGGCTAAGCCTGAATCGAAGCGGAGTGATGTCGACAAAAACACATTTTTGAACATGGATCGGCGCGGATACGGGAGCAAGAAAGGTGGGGGGTGAAGACGACATGCTGCAACGCAGATCAGATCACAACGAACAAGTGTATAACTTCCTCTGCCCAAAAAGGCTGGCCATATTGATTCCAAATGCAAACTTCAACACACATGATCGTACAATGGACAATGCACGCGAACCGTGAATGCTGTACGTTACGTAAACGCATCCGTGCAGTCTCCACCACAACACAAACCGATCAAATTCTGGTCATTGCGCGCACCAAGCATTAGGGGAGCAGCAATCACGACGCCACTGCTCACTGATCGAGGGCTGCCGTGCGAATCTTTCAAAACGAAACAGGTGCGGCAAACATTGAAAAACACATGATGAAGGAGAGCGCGAAAGATAGAGACAGAAGGACAGAGAGAGAGAGAGAAAGACAGAGAATATAGAAAGAGAGAAGGAGAGAGAGACATGTAGAGAGAAGAAAAGGATAGGGAGAAGGAGAAAAGAGACCGATGTGAGAGTCCCCTGGACCAACCCGGAAAACTCCCGAAAAACCCTTTCGAGAAACCCCCGAGTGGAAAGTTTTCAGCAGTTTTCCCCTCCGGAGCCTGGGGAGAGGGGGCGGGGACTTGGGTTCCCCCCCCCGCGAGTGGATTTTGCTTGTTCGGAAGGTTTCTGGAGCGGGATTCCACAAACCACCCCACATCGCAATTCAGGAAAACCCCTCCCCCCGCCTGTTTTTTGACCTGGGTGTTTTGGGACTTTTGTTCGGGGGCTGTCGGGGGATTCTTCCGGGTTTCCTCTGGCCCCCCCCCAAAAAACCCTCATTCGGAGTTGTCTTCCTGCAACGTTTCCTAGATCCCCTGGCCCCCCCCTCCCAGGATCCCAACAAGAATACGTCCTTCGGGTTCTTGTTCTCATGTTTTTTCGGGGATTCCACCAGCGATCCCAGGAAGCCTCCCTGAGGAACAGAAGCACTAGTTGCTTTTGTTTGCCTGTGGTTCCTCTAATATTTTTCTGTGGTGCTGCTTGCTTCTTTTGGAGGGTTCCTCTGCATCCCGCGGGCACCCCCGAACAACCCCCTCGAGGGAGGTTTTCTCGGAGGCTTCCCAGGAACCCCTTTAAAAAAAGCATTGAAGAGAACCCTAGATGAAGGTTTTTTCTTGTGATGTCCACGGGGGATCGCATGGCAGTTTTGAGCGGTGGGCCGTGCGGTGTCGCAGGGTTGGATCAGAACGCTGGGGGGTCTAGGAGAGCTGTAGGTAAGAGGGAGAGAGAGAGAGGGGAATAGAGAGAGAGAGAGAGAACCAAACAAACACATGATAGAGAGGTTGAGTGAAATAGAGAGAGAGAGAGCGAGAGAGAGAGAGAAAACAAAGAGAGAGAGAGAGAGAGATCACGCAACCATACGTGAATGCGCTCGAGGGAGGGGGGGGGGAAAAACAATAATCATCGTCAGTAGGGAGTGGCACTAAATCGCAATATCGTCCAAGGTATGCTGCTGCTGATCCACTCTCTTCTGCTGCTCCTCCTCTTCTCGCCAACCCCATCCGTCGTCGCAGCGAAGCGGGTGCGGTCTTGACGCGTCGCACGTGAACGCGCCGAGCTCCCTGGCGAGGCGGAGCCATCAGGGAGCCAGGGCAAAGGAGACCCCGACTGGAGTCCAACGGGGGCGCCATCCAGAGAAGGAGCAACGATAGGCCATGGAGGAGAGGAGTACTCCTCCTCCCCCTCCTCCTCCTCCTCCTCCTCCTCCTCCTCCTCGTCCTCGTCCTCGTCCTCGTCCTCGTCCTCGTCCTCGTCCTCGTCCTCCTCCTCGTCCTCGTCCTCCCCCTCCCCCTCCTCCTCCACCTCCTCCTCCTCCTCCTCCTCCTCCTCCTCCTCCTAGTCCTCCCCCTCCCCTCCCCCTTTCCCCTCCTCTCCTCCTCCTCCTCCTCCTCCTCCTCGCCTCCCCCTCCTTCTCCCCCTCATCCTCATCATCATCCTTCTTCTTTTCCTCCTCCTCCTCCTCCTCCTCCTCCTCCTCCTCCGCCTCCTCCTCCTGGACTCTAATGGGAGTCCAATGGGGACGCTATCCAAAGGAATGAGCAACCAGGGGCCACGGAGGAAGGGAGTTAGGGGCAACGATAGGGATCCCCGGGCTCCAGGGGGGAAGCATCGGCCTGGATTCGGCGATAGACGTCGCGCGCCCCAGTGGCAAATCCGCGCGTTTCTGGGCGGGGAGGGCCGTTGGGCCCCTATCTCGGAGGCGCGCAAACATGGATCGGATTTGGCGCGCGCAGTCGACAAATCCATGGATCGGGGGAGGGCACAGTCGCTAATCCACGCCCCCTTTGATCCATTTTTGCGATCGCTTGGCCATCGGCTGTGAGTGGCCGATTGGCTCCTCCTCCTCCTCCTCCTCCTCCTCCTCCTCCTCCTCCTCCTCCGCCTCCGCCTCCGCCCGCCTCTCCTCCTCCTCCTCCTCCTCCTCCTCCTCCTCCTCCTCCTCCTCCCCCTCATGCGACGGTATGGTCGTGCGGTGGGCTCTGATGGCGCGTCCTATGTCCTGCGTTGCTGCCGTGCGCCGTGTCGGGATCTGCGGGGCTGTGCCGTAGTGCGCCGCGCTCTGGCGCCATCGAGCCGCACTCCCTCCTGGTCTGGCGTGATGCGGCGTGCTGGCACGACGTCCCCAAGCAGACAACTAACTTGTTTTGACAAAAAAACACACCCCCTGTTTAGTAAGGTTTGTTACTGTGCCTTGACCCAGCGTGCGCTGAAGACTGCGAGCTCGACCTCTCGCCCTCGCAAGATAGGTGCGGGCGCCCACAAAGAATGGGGCGCGAGACGGACCCAGCGGCCCCACGAGACTGACTCGTGGGACGGGTGCACGGGGCTGCGCACGGTGCTCGGTCGGCTGCCGCCCAGGGACGCCCCGTGGGCGCCCCGCGCGCCGGGTGGGCGCGGCAGGGCTTCGCTTGGTGCCAGGTCGGCTGCCGCCAGGGGGCGCCACGTCCGCCCGTGGAAGAGGTGGAGGAGCAGGAGGGGGAAGGAGGAGGAGGGATGAGGAGGAGGGAGGAGGAGGAGGAGGAGGAGGAGGAGGAGGAGGGGAGGAGGAACGAGGAACGAGGGGGAGGAGGAGGAGGAGGAGGAGGAGGAGGAGGAGGAGGAGGAGGAGGAGGAGAAAAGGAGGAGGGGAGGGGAGGAGGAAGGAGGAGGACGGAGGAGGAGGAGGAGGAGGAGGAGGAGGAGGAGGAGGAGGAGGAGGGAGGAGGAGGAGGAGGAGGAGGAGTGAGGAGAGGGGAGGAGGAGGAGGAGGAGGAGTACTCTCTCCTCCATGGCCCATCGTTGCTCCTTCTGGATGAGGAGGAGGAGGAGAGGAGGAGGAGAGGAGGAGGAGGAGGAGGAGGAGGAGGGGAGGAGGACTCTCCTCCATGGCCCATCGTTGCTCCTCTTCTGGAGGAGGAGGAAGGAGGAGAAAGGAGGAGGTGGAAGGAGGAGGAGGCGGAGGAGGAGGAGGAGGAGGAACCGGAGGAACAGGAGGAGGAGGAGGAGGAGGAGAAAACTGGACACCATCCCGCCGGCCCAACGGACCAGAGGCGTGCTCAGATCTCCGGTCAACAGGTCGACCGTTTTTCTGGTATTTGCGCGCGCGGGGCGGCCCCCGGGGGCCCCGGGGCGAAGCCCATGAGCAGCGCGGAGGCTGGCCACCCCTGGGTCAGGGATGGGTGTTCTGCTGTGCGTCGCCCGAAGGGCGCTCCAGGGGACTTCCTCCAAATCTGCAGAGGAGCCCACGAAGTTCCGAGGCAGCCAACGAGCATTGCAAGACGTCCAAGCTGGGCCTGCACAATCCAAGAGGCTTCTAGACGCCCCACTGGCGCCTTCAAAGGAACCCCAAAGAGGCCCACAGAGCCAACAACTACTGATTTCCACAAGGTTTTCAAAATTGTGGCGTCACCGCCCGCTCGGGCTTCCGACTGCCACAAGAACAATCAAGAGACCCCGAAAACCATCTCCAAACAGCCCAGAAGGGTTCCAGGACGGCCCTCGGCCGTGACCCAAGAGAGCGCCGAGTTGGCCCAAGAGGCTCCCCAAGAGGGCTTCAGAGGTTCCCAAGAGAGCCCCAACAGAGCCCCCAGAGGGGGGACAATATGACCTGACGAATCGAACCATTTCCCAAAAGGTAGCCCCCGAGACCGCCAGGGGGGCCCGAGAGACCCAACATACTCCGCCAAAAGGCCCCCCTTTAAACAGTTTGTTTGCACACGAATGAGTCCATCATCAACAGAGGCCTGCCATGGTCGCCTAGAATATGTGAGGATATGCGGCGGCCCGATTGGTCCAGCGAGCTCCCGTGGGGCCATGGCCAAAGTGCGCAATCTGAGACCTGCCCGCACACTCGCATAAACGGCGCCCGAGACCATGACGCCTGGTTTCATGCGGTACACGTCTTCCAGCCCACAGGCCCAGGGCATAATGTCATTTCCGCGTTAAGCATAATCGCCAAGTATCGGGCACTCTGCAGGGCCGCACCAAAACATCTGCCGCATGTGCTCAGTATGCTACAGGAATACGGCTCTACACCAAGTTCGGCGCTTCGCGCGCAAGAAAAGACTGGCACATCGGGTGCAGCCAGTCCTTGGGCGCTGCAGATTGCGGCTTGGCCAAAAAGCTGGTGGGGGACCCCCCCCCCTGGCTCGAACCCCCCCACAAGGGGAGGGGCCTCCCCCTCCCCCTCCCGGTTCGAACCCCCCCGCTTCCCTCCTCCCTCCCTTCAGGGTGGGGGGGGGCCCGTTCGAGCCGCCCCCCTCTTGCAATGCAGGGCGGGGGGGGGGCTCCTGGTGCGAACTCCCCCCCTTCCCGGCGTCCACGGAACGCGCTGTTTCGAAGATTGACACATCTTGAAAGATCTGGTTTCAATCGGGAGGCTCCAGGCTGAAATATTGAAAGATGGGAAGATCTTTCTCGAGCTTGAGCCTCAAGGTGGAAAGGTCGAAGCAATGACACGCCTTTCATGACGCCAGTGCCACAAGGGG